GGGGGGGAGGAGAGAGGGAGGATGGGACTAGGTGGTATCTGGTATCTACATCAAATGAGAAATAAACATTGTGACGCTGGCCGAACATTTTTTAAGGATTTTCTTCAATAAAAGCACTACTCTGATACTGCTATGGAAATGAGAATAAAATTGCCTGCACAAATTGGGGAGGTATTTTCAGTCCCAACACTGGAGCTACAAGACTAAACCATTGTATCAAGTAGTCTAAGCCCCTCTGGCAGGCGTCCACTCCTTCCTCGTCCCTGCCGGTCCTAAATTCTATTTCATTTTGGCCCGAGCATATCATACGAGACATTCTCGCGGGCGTCCCACAAGGATGCAAAAAAAAAAAGGGGAGTCCCAAAAGTGGGTGCTCATCTTGCGACAAAATTGTCCACCTGCCTACCTCGTTTTCTTGGTCAGTGTCTTCCGTGGCAATGCCGCAAAAGCGCGCCAATTCATCTCTAATGAAGGGGGCCCCATCGGCTCGGGTGACTCGCAACCAGAGTGTCGGAGTCCTGTAGGCCTCATCGTACAAAACGTGCAAATCCCAGTCCGTCATGACGGCAATGCGTGCACGATCAGGTGTGGGGGAAGATGGCTGCATTGGAGGAAGAGAGGCGTCATCGCGGTAATCCTGGCCTGTCACATCTTCCTCGAAATCTGCCTCCGTGCTTCGTCTTTCCTCGGCATTGTAAGACGAGCGCCTGTCAGCGCAATTCTCACCCTCGAGCTTTTCGTTCCCAAAGTCCCCCTTCCCGGCGATCGGGGGATATGTGCGCGTGAAGCTTAAGGATACGAACGGCATTCTATTGAGCTTGTCGGGAGGCGCCTCCCGCATTTCCCACTCCCATCGCCATCCATCAGGTCCCTCATCTCCCTTATGCGCCTCCCACGCGGCCCGGACAAGCGGTGAGCTCCAGGCGACTATTCCTTCTCGGAAGATTTCGGCAGCAATAGTCATTCCACTGCGAAGCAAAAATCTTCAGATCTCACTACATCGGAGGCGATGGCCTGAGAGCGTAAAATTGTATCGAGGTTACGACCCTTTCCAGTGGCTGGACACGCGCCTGTGGTGCAAGGGGGAAGTAACGCTTAGAGTGAGAAGGACAACAAAGAATGGTGCAGGAATTGTGGCTGGCATAAAGGGAGCTCTTGTACAGTCAGTCGGCAAATCATTTTTTTCATCACATTTCACGGGAGGGCGGCCTCCTGGGCCTGCATGACCCCAAACTCGAGGCAAACAACCCGCACGGCACACGGGCCTCAAGCGACAGGCGCGCCTGCGGAATTTATTCGTCTCTCGCCACTCGTCCAAAGCATTCCCTTCCGATCCAACCACCACTTCAAGCCTCTTCTTTCCCATTCCCGTTCTCTAGACCCACTGCGCCAGCCTCGTCCTTCCCCCTCCATCTCAGAAAGCGCGCCTTGGCCTCCACGATGCTCGCGTCTGCCTTACAGAAAGCAAAGCGGGCATGGTTCTTCGCCAAATGTTTGTGCTCCTCCTTGTAAAAGGCAGAGGGGGGTATAGCGGCCACGCCTGCTTCCAGAGTCAGATAGCGGCAGAAGGCCCAATCTCTGGACATGGGATTGGGGGAGGCCGGCGTGCTCTCGCCAAGATAGCGCGGGGGGACCTGGATGTTGCTCGTGTCCGCGATGATGAAAAAGCCACCTTCGGGGACGATGGGCTCGAGACCTGCTGTTCTAAGCGCGTCGACTAATAGCGTACTGTAGTAGGGGAGGGAAAGGAGGGGGGGAACGTCAAGGAAACGTACAGGATGGCCGGAATCTGCCTGTCTCCTGCCTTTGCGCAATGCGCGGACTGGAAGCAGCAATCCCCGCACCGCAGACCCTCCCTTTTCCCTTCCCCGCACCCACAACCCCCCTATCTTTCTCGTCCCATCGCCCCCGCCCCGTCACGCTTTCCCCTACTTACCGTTTTCGCATGTATTCGTCCCGCAGCCAGGCGTAGTAAGAGGGAAATTCCATGTAAGGTTCTTGGGCCCGCCGAAGCATCTCAGCCACTGCCGCTTGCAGGGGCGTGGCCACCGAGAATTGCACGTACTGGTTGCAGCACATGACCCCCCGGATCAAATGCGTTGGGCCTATGAGCCAGCCGATCTTCCAGCCGGTCACGCAGAAGGTCTTTCCCGCCGAGGACAAGGTCAAGGTGCGCTCCCACATGCCGGGCAGGGTGGCGAGGCGCACATGCTCGTGGCCCGGATAGGTGAGGTTCTCATACACTTCGTCGGACAGAACCAGGGCCCGCGGGTGCGCCCGGACCAGGTCCGCGAGCTTTTGCAGCTCGGATCGGGCGAAGACTTTCCCCGTTGGGTTTTGGGGCGTGTTGAGGAGGAGGAGTCGAGTGCGGGGGGTGAAGGCCGCGGCCACCTCTCCCCAGTCCAGGCTCCATGTCGAAGAGGAGGGGGATGGGGGTCGAAGAGGGACGTACACGCAGGTCCCGCCCGCCATTTTTACCTGGACGGGGGAGGGAAAGGGGGAGTGTGTGGGAGTGTGTGTGAGCACGGGCTTGAGGCGTGGAGCAGACCTCCCCCCGCCTTCTCCCACATACCTGCGCGGCGTATATGTCGAAGGCGGGCTCGATGAGGATCACCTCGTCGCCGGGGTTGACGAGGGAGTGGATGGCGGCGAAGAGGCCCTCCGAGACCCCCACAGAGACCGTCACCTCGGTGTCGGGGTCGAGGGTCCGACCAAAGAGGGGCGAGTAGTGGGTGGCTAGGGCGGAGGCCAGGTCTGGCAGCCCGGCCGAGCGGCAGTATTGGTTGTGGTTCTTCTCGATGGCGCGCACGGCCGCCGTTTTGCAGAAGTCAGGGGTGGGCCAGTCTGGAAAGCCCTGTCCGAGATTAACCGCCTGCATCTGTGCTGCCAGGGGGGTAAATTCTTGCCACACAGTTGGTTTCTGTGCGGTGAACGAGGGCATAGGAAATCGTTACCCGCATTTTTGTTTCTGAAAAAGTGTGCCATTTACGACATGACTACAAGGCCGAGGGTTTTGAGGCCGGCGACCCGCAGTACGACGCCTGTACTTTCCACAGGGCCTCACCTCAAAGCCTTTGAGGCGGTCGGCAGGGCCGAAGTCGAAGTCTTCCGAGCTCATCTGCCTGTAGTCAATGTCATGTACTCCAGGTATTGAGACGGTACCGCTTGAGTCATGCACATGTCGGGGTACACGCCTTAAAAAGCCCTGCCTCCAATGGCCCCGATCATGTAACTGTCCCCACGACTACTGGGAAAAAGTGCTAGGAAAAAAATCGCTGTGCTACGACTAATTTTTTATGAGTTTCCGGAGGTTACCTGGTGAGCAGCCGGGTAAAGGAGGGGACAAGTGTTCTACGGTGATATGAAGGTAAGGAAGAAGCCCAACCCGAAAGCAGCCAAGACACGCGAGCGAAGGCTGAGATCTTGAGCATGCACTTCGCACCCCAGTCCAAGCCAAGCCCTGTGTGTCCGTGTGGGCAGAGATCGCCTGAGTGTAACAGTGACCACTTTTTGAGGGGCTGTGGGCGATAGCGAGACGGAGTAGCAGCGGATCCCGATGCTCGTCGCAGCAGGTGGGTGTTCAAAAGACAATCCAATACTCATCAACCCCTTCTCCCCCCCCCCGTATCACCTAATCAATGTTAGGCATTGGGAGGCTTATGCCGGGATCA